ATCTCTAGCAATATTGCTATCGCTATTGCGATTGCTATTGCTATTTCAGTGGAATCTCTTTGTCATCTGAATTCATCGATTCCTATGTTTTATCTAGTCTCTGGAGTTTCAAAAATTACAACAGGCAATATTTCTCTCCCCCTCGCCACAAAAAAGCTGTTAACAAGTAACAGGGACAAATTACTTTCAAAAATCACAGAATATTAAAGAAAACATATATAAGAAGCTCTATAGGTGGTATCTTCCCCTGGAAAAATTATCAGAAAGGTACAAACAAGTTATTAACAAGTGTTGGAAATGTAGGAAAGAAAAAGGATCACTGTATCATCAGTGGTGGACATGTGGAAAAGTTTTTTTTAAAAATTCCATACATCAAATAATAGAGAAAATTATAAATTTAAGATTTCAAATGAAACCAGAAGTATATTTATTAGGAATGTTTGATGAAGAAATGGATTTAAAAAATTAGAATTATGTATTATTTGACAGCTGCAGCAAAGATAGTAACGGCTCAAAAATGGAAAGAAAACACACTACCATCAATAGAAGAATAGCTATTAAAATTGATAGAGATGGCAGAATTGGATAAATGGACTTGATTTATGAAATATGAAAAATTAGCAAAGTATGTAAAAGATTGGGAATAGAGAACAAAATACATAAATCATCAATGGGGTATATTGATACAATTGGATTTCTGGATTAATTGACATTCTCTGTATATAAAATATGATTATGATAAGTATTAATCCTTTTATATAAGTTAGAATTAGATTGGATTTTCTGTATTGTAGTTTAAGAACAGTTTGAAAAATTAGTATTGCTAGTACTGGAAGTCAAGCATGGAAGATATGTTATGAAGATAGAATAGATAATGTAGAAGATAAATGTAAATCAAGCAGATCTGTATTTTTGTGTGTCTTTTTAAGTGGATTTTTGTGTCTCTTTGTACAGCACTGTGTACATTGACAGCGCTTTAGAAATAAACTATAATAATAATAATAATAATAATAATAATAATAATTTTTTGTCTTGCTTTTAAAGAAAAAAATATGAATAAAAATATTTTTTTTTTAAAAAAATAAGAAAATAACTTTCCCAAGCTCTGTGTAACAGTACCTTAAGCCAGATGCTGGTCCTGCAAGAGATAGTATCCAACATTTGCCCACCAGCTTTGGTCACTTTCCTCCGCAGTTCAGTCGAATATGGGCTATAACTAGTCCGGCCACTGACCCGCTTGACCAGCATCCCTGCCATCTGACCATCCACTTTGCCTACAAAATGCACCACCTGGGCACAGTTGGTGGGGTCAATATTTTAAATTTAAAAATAAATAATACCAAATATTTAGGGTTTTTCCATGATTGTTTTTGCATTCGATCTGGTTCGCGAAAGCCTGTGCAATATATATGATATATATTTTCAACATAAAACCAACAGACCCAACCCAACTCAAGCCGGGAGGAGAAGGAAACCACAATTTTGTCTCTGAAGCAACAGGAAGTCGGATCCAGCAGCTTCCTCTTTTGGGCAGAAAACAAGTGATCATCCTTTTTGAAAAGATGCAATGAGAAAGAGTAAAAATTAGAGCTGTCGCAGGGTTTGAAAACCCTCATTCGTGTCATGGCCTATTTTGCTTGGAAAGGCCGACAACAAGACCATTGAGTTAGGCATGTTTTGGAGAAGGAAAGACCAATAGGTGACATGAAAATTACAATAACAACATTACAATAAGAAACTCTAGAAAAATTATAAAATGCAGAAAACAAGGATACCAACCAAAATGCACAAAGTGTATTTTGGTTGGTCCAATAAAGGTATCCCTGTTTTGTACATTTCGGATGTTATTGTACTTGGCTATATGGCCAACATGGCTACCCCTGAATATGTTTCCATGTGACGTGAGAGTTTACTTTAAATATCTGAAGGGATGTCACATAGACGATGGAGCAAGCATTTTTCACACTGCTTTAGAGAATAGAACATGAACTAATGGATTCCAGTTACGAGAAAATAAATTCTATTTAAATTCTAGGAAGAGATTCTTGACTGTAGGAGCTGTTTGATGCTGGAATGAAGTGTCTTGAAGGGCTGTGGTTTTCTCCTTGAAACAGAGGTTGGATGGGCATCTTTCAGGAGTGCTTTAGCTGTGCATAGCCGGGGGTCCTACTAGATGACCCTTAGGGGTCCCTTCCAACTCTATGCTTCCATACTGTCCAACATTTCACAGATGGAAACCAGGGCACATGTGGTCAGCAACATCAGAGTGGGTCAAGATGGCTAAAGTTAGGAACGAGGAATAAAATACAAGGTAACACACACACACACACACACACACACACACACAGACCATCATAAGCAAAATGTCTCTTCCTATTGTTGTGTATTTTTTCTGCTCAACACAAACACTTATATTCACATATTGTAACACTACAGTCAGCCCTCCGCATTTGCAGCTTAGACTTTGGCGGCTTCGATTATTCCCAGATTTGATGCATATGTTCTCTCTAGGAATTTCTTAGTCCTCCAGCACGACTCCGTCAGAGGTTGACCATAGAGTTGCACTGGAGGACCTAGAGATTCCTGGAGAAAACACTTCTCTAGGCATTCGTAGGACCTCCAGCCTAATTCTATGGTCAACGTCAGGTGGATGTTGAGCATAGAGTTGAACTGGAGGACCTAGAGATTCCTAGAGAGGCATTATCAGATATAGCAGGAGTAGGCAACCTTTTTGAGCCGGGGGCCGGGTTGCTGTCCCTCAGACAATTGGGGGGCCGAAGCACAAAACAAATAAATAAATAAATATCTAAATATATAAAAATTTAAAAAATATGCATGCACTCTCTCAGCCCCAGAAAAGCCATGGAAAAAACCCTGTGGAGATTTTGCCAAGAAAACCCCAAGAACAAGTAATAACAACAATAATCATTATCATTACGGCGGGCAGCGGCGGCGGTGGGGGGCAGTGGCAGGACCGGCCTGGAACCGGTCCAAAGGCCTTGGGAGGCCGCATCCGGCCCCCGGGCCTTAGGT